CAGTGATTACAAAGCTTATGGTTCAATGTTTCCGACAGATGAAGTTCTTAATCGTTGCGACGCTGCTGGCGCTCGGGGTGGCAACAGCCTCATCAGCCCTGGTGGATGAGTCAGGTAATTAACAAAATTGCTGCAGTATTGCATCGCATTATTGATGTATTATTTGGCTTTGTGAAATGGAGTTCTGCGTGTATGTGTGTGGGTGCACACATGAGCAGTCATCCCGATATTTTCTTTCTTTCTCTCTTTCTCTTCTCTCTCTCTCTCTCTCTCTCTCTCTCTCTCTCTCTCTCTCTCTCTCTCTCTCTCTCTCTCTCTCTCTCTCTCTCTCTCTCTCTCTCTCTCTCTCTCTCTCTCTCTTTCTATTTAGTTTACGTTCGCGTGTTTGTCTCTGTCTGGTAATATTTGTATTTTCCTTTTAACGCAAAATGTGTTTTTGCGTTCCCATGTGTGTGCATGTTTGCGTTTAACCCCCGGTTTGTTGTCGATTATTACAATATTCCCCTTCGATATTCCATACGAGTATATATATATATATATATATTATATATATATATATATATATATATATATATATATATATATATATATATATATATATATATATATATATATATATATATATATATGTATATATAGACGGTGGTGCATTCACCTTTTTTCTGTAATCTATCTCATTTTCTCAGTATATTTACGTATTCCTTTTTCTCAGTGCGATTAACATTTTGATAATGTATTCGAATTCAGTTTCATATTATCATGATACACATAGATTGTCTTTAAGTTTCTTTCTTTTCGTTTTTAGTACAATACATTTCGTGTCCTTGTCAGAAATTAGAATGTACTTTGCATGTATGATCACTACTTACGTTTCCGTATGAGCTGCCATGTGATCCCTGTGGATGATAAATGCATTCTTATGCTTGTGGGCGAGTGTGTGTGTGCGTATAATGAGGCAGATAGGTAGACAGACGATTCCTTATACATATGTACATACTTACATACAATACATACATACATACATATTTCATACATACATGCATACATAGATATATACATAAATACATACAGACACAGACATACAAACAGATAGACAGATTTATACGTACACATTACACTGCATATGATGTAATGTCTCCTCTAAAGTCCCACCCCATCACATCCTTTGTTTTGATGAATCGATGAGTCACCAGGAAACATACATGAGGAATAACCAAGCGTAAAAAAGTGTGATGGTTACTTTTTTTCTTTGTAATTGGGAGAGGGAGAGAGAGAGAGAGAGAGAGAGAGAGAGAGAGAGAGAGAGAGAGAGAGAGAGAGAGAGAGAGAGAGAGAGAGAGAGAGAGAGAGAGAGAGAGAGACAGAGAGAGAGAGAGAGAGGGGGGGGAGGGAAAGAGAGAGCGAAAGAGAGGAAGAGAGATATACACATGTGCTTCCAAAACTTGTTACAAATAGCAGGAACACGTGTCGTTCAGTATAAGAGAGAAGTGATTTTTTGCCTGCCATGTGCTTACTAACTAGTAAAAGAATTGAACAAAAGTTGTGAAAGAGAAAGAAAATTAAGAGATACACTAATCACTGTTTTCATTGTGATACTACCACCTATATAATTGTATTGCATTATGGTAAAGTGAGCGTCTACAGTAGATGGCCGGGGTGCATGAACATTCGAGCTTTAGCATCACAAAATTTCTACGTATTCAGTATAAACAAAGCAGGATTTATCACTGAAATAAAAAGGCATTACATAAAGCATAATTCCTTGACAAAATATTCCAGAGCCTGCTACCGCTGCCGTAAAGATCCTGGGCGGATACGTGACCCGGACCCGTTTCACCACATTGTTTTCCACGACCCTCAAGACCTGCATCACGCAAGTGGGCCAAAATGCCCAGTGCCAAGGACGAAAGAAGAGGGAGGCCAAGGCCTTGAACGAAAACCTCATGTGAGTAATACTCAGCTCTCAGAAAAGAGCGCTGGCGTTGCATGTTTTCCTTAATTGCTATAAGGCCATAGAACAAAAGGTCAGAGTTAGGAAATCGTATAAGGCAGATGTTGGAAGTGATAATTAGTGTTATAAAATTATGTTATCTATAATTCATTTTACACATCGTTCAGAGGAATAGAGCATAAGGGAGAAACAGATATAAAATCAAGTCAACATCAAAGGTCTTTAGGCGGAATTCTGTTTAGAGGAAGGCTTCGCAGTCATTCGAGTGAACCACATCGATGGCGCGACAAGGATCGGTTGCTTAGGACCGACCACTGCCGGACACGGAGTAAGTACCAGGTCCCAGAGTTAGAATCTAGTGTAGGACAAAGCATAAGACCCGGCTCTTAGGGCCGCCGACAACGTGCGCGAAGTCCTCCTGGACTCCTCTCAAGGCGAGAAGGTCGAGGCCGTCGGTCCCCAGGCGGCAAGCTCTTCGTCTCCCTCAATAGCTTCACACCTTGGACGACCGTGTCCCACCGTGTCCCTCCTTCCCCCCCGAGGGCCTCACGTACGCCTTCTGTTGAGCGCTGACGAGCAATTCGGATGCTGATCGGTTCGCCGCGGCCATGTTCTGCCCCTTGGCTCTACTCCTGTCTGTTCTGGAAGGGCTAATCCTGTTCATACCGCGAGTAAGACAGGCTGGTTCTATTCATTTATAAATGTGCTGTATATAAGAAGGTCCTTAAGCAAGTATAGTTAAATAATTTTTTTGTTGAAAATTCAGAGTATGATTAAGCAGAAACTAATCAAAACACGTAACTCCAGCGCGAGTTTGTAGCGGGAGATTCTTCTTTCTGCATATATCACACACACACATCTGCTTACATACACTATATTATATTAGATATAGATCACACACACATGCACACACACACACCACACACACACCACACACACACACGCACACACACACACCACACACACCACCATATATATATATATATATATATATATATATATATATATACACATTAACACACACACACACACACACACACACACACACACACACACACACAGTACAGATATGTATGTTTTTTTCTTTTTGAAATGCCGTTTTAGATACTTGGCTTTCACGCTTTGGAGATATTTTTATTGTCAGCAAGCTGGTGATCTTCATCTGTTCTCTGCAACTTCTTCGCCATCTACCCCTTGAATATCAGTCTTTGTGGTCCTTTGTCTCTTCTTCCTTCTGTTTTGCCAGTGATGACTAGGTTATCCATTCCTTTCTCCCTCAATACGTGCCCGAAAAAAACATTCTGTTTTCACACATGAATTCAACTGCTGTCAAGTTGCCCAACAACACAAATAAGTCTTCGTCACTCACGTGTTAACTGCTTCCGGTTTTGATAATTCTGTTGCTTAGTCGATTATTTTATGATATATATATATATATATATATATATATATATATATATATATATATATATATATATATATATATATATATATATATATATATATATACATATATACATACATATAAGTATGTGGGTGTGGGGGTGTTTCCCTATGTGTGTGTTTTGGTCTATGTGTGTAAACAAGTATTTTTATCTAAATATATCTAGATGTGTATGTATATCGATAGATGTGTTTGTGTGTGTGTGTGTGTTGTGTGTGTGTGTGTGTGTGTGTGTGTGTGTGTGTGTGTGTGTGTGTGTGTGCACTATGTGTGAGTATTTACTGTCCGTAAAGCAAAAAACTACGGTGTAGAAAATACCACATCGCTTTCCAGGCCCCAAGGAAAATTATTCCTTTACACCACATATGTCAAAGTCAAGGCCCGCGGGCCAGATCCGGCCCGCGAATTAATTATCTATGGCCCCCTGGATGATATTTAATTACTATTAGACCCGGCCCGCAGGCCACGGCCGCCCGCTAGTGTTTTGCACGCACCAGCGCTACATTCCCCACAATGCAACGGTAGCCCGCGAAGTCGCTGCAGCGCGCACAAGCGGCTTCATTATTCATCAGCAGTCAGAGCAGAGATCCACTTTCAGCTGCCCCCTCCTCGAAAATGGCCAAACGGAAGGTGGACGCTGAGAACAGGGGGTTTCAAGCCAGGTGGGAGGCAGAGAACATGTTCACGGAGGTAAAAGGCAAACCTGTGTGTCTTCTGTGTGGAGAAAGTTTGGCTGTAATGAAAGAATATAATCTTAGGAGGCACTATCAAACATCTCAGAAACACACAGACAAAGACAAGAATATGGACACGGAACAAAGGCTACAGAAGGTGGAAGAATTAATGCGAGGCCTTAAGTCCAGGCAGGCTATGTTCACATATGCCAAATCACAAAGCGATGCTGCTGTCAAGGCTAGCTTTATTGTGGCAAAAGAGGTCGCAAAATCAGCCCAGCCCTTTACAGAAGGAGTGTTTATCAAAAACTGTATGCTTGAAGTTTGTGACGCAGTGTGCCCAGACAAAAGACAACTCTTCTCAAACGTGAGCCTGAGCAGAAACACCGTTGCTGAACGTGTAGACCAGCTTTCCACCAACATAAAAGAACAGCTTGTGAGAAAGGGAAAAGATTTCATCGCATATTCTCTTGCTGTGGATGAGAGCACGGACACATCTGACATTGCCCAGCTGTCAATTTTCGTCCGTGGAGTAGACTCCAGCCTGAGCATAACAGAGGAGTTTCCGGCATTACGTCCTATGCATGGCACAACTACAGGACAAGATCTGTATGAATAGGTATCCAGATGTGTAAATGAGATGGGGCTGCCTTGGGAAAAACTCGTGGGATTAACCACAGACGGAGCACCCGCACTGTGTGGGCACAGGAGTGGATTGGTGGCAAGGATGCGTGAGAGGATGCTGGAGGAAAACGTCACAGATGAGTTGACTGCATTAAACACCAGGAGTCGTTGTGTGGCAAAGCCTTGAAAATGGAACATGTAATGAGCACCATAACGCGAGCAGTTAACTTCATCAGAGCCAAAGGTTTAAATCACCGCCAGTTCAAGGCATTTCTGGGCGAGTTAGATACAGAGTATGGTGACTTGC